ACTATCTTGAGGCCACGAGTTACTATCTTGAGGCCACGAGTTACTGTCTTGAGGCCACGAGTTACTATCTTGAGGCCACGAGTTACTGTCTTGAGGCCACGCCACGAGTTACTATCTTGAGACCACGAGTTACTATCTTGAGGCCACGAGTTACTATACCCATACATGTTGCTGCTGATTGGGCTGACATTTTTGACACACCCACCAAACAAGAGAAAGCGTATCTCAAACCCGTTGCACACCGTTTCCAGGAAACATGTCGTTCAACCCGGAAACCGGAAGTAAAATGTTGCGCACCGATTTGAGCTTGAACGTGCCCCTCAGTAATGTCAAACCTCATTGGTTCTCACAGGTTATGGCGTGTGGTCACGTGATGTGCAAGAACTAATGAGGTTTGACGTTTTATGTCGCCATATTTTACGCAGCTTCACCCTGGAGGTTAAATGATGGTGTATACAGTTTATTATCATACCGTAAGCCTCAGCTGGAAGCTCTTTACTATTCTATCCGATTTTATGAAATGCTGGTTTTAGATTTGCGCAGACTAAGACTTAAAATCATGGAGCAGAAACCTGACTTTCTTATGCGCTTTGCAAACAGAGGTCTTTCATAGTAAAGCCAGCCATTATGCAGCGACTGAACTTATCCTTTTTTCCCTTATCATCCTTTTACAACAAAGCTTGTGTTGCTTGTCTGATTTCCTTCTGACACTAAACTTGAATAAGAGCGTGAGAGAGAGAGAGAGAGAAATATACCTTGGCTGGTGCATCCGCTTTATGGAAACCAAGAAAAGCAACTAAAAATATGTATTACTGCAAAAAATACCAGGTTAAAAGTAAACCCTGGAACCGATAACTCCATAGGTCAGTCGTTCAGAGCGACGTTAAACAGAATATGAGAACAGAGCTGTCAGTCTCTCCCGGGGTGCTCGCTTTTTTTTTAGCTTGTGTCATCAGTTACAACACAGGAAGCTCAGTACTGTGAGTGTGTCAGTCAATATGTTGTTTACTTAGTCAATCTAAGTAAATCTGCTCTGAACTCATACCTGCGGGCGCAACATTGATCCACTTGACCCGGGCGGCTTCCAGGTTTAATTGAAAAAAAACAGCTGAGACCTTTATGAATTAACTGCTGAAATCAATATCTGTAGAATGCCACCCTGTAAACTCTCTCCTTACACACCGGTGATGCCAGAGCAGCTAGCAGGTAGGTTGTTTGCGGTTCTTAAGAGAGTAAACAGATGGTTTCGCTTTCTGTCTATGTTATTCAGTACTGTACAGGTGTACTGTTTATCTACTCAGAATTGTTAGTGAGTGCAAAGGCTCTCATCTGTTCTCCTCTTTTAAAGAGACTCTGTAATCTGCACATTATCCGCTACTACCTGACAGTCAAATTGAATGACAACAGGTGGCTAACATTTCAAGAGGCGCACTAGCGACTGACGCTAGAGTCTTTAGCGTCCTTGTTAGCGTCCCTGCCTCCCATGCCAGAGACGCCGGTTCGTGTCCCGCTCAGATTGGGGAGAGTAGGACGTGAGGGGTTACATTAGTGCCGTGACCCAGGTGGGAGTGAGGTTAAGGGGGTGAGTGTAATGGAGGCCAGCTGTATTGAGAACTGTGCATGTAAACCTCACTCCCCTGATCTCAAGAGGTGCACTAGCAATTGACGTTAGTGACAGAAGTCTTTAGCTTACTTGTTAGTGCGCCTGACTCCCATGCTAGAGATGTCGGTTCGAGTCCCATTTGGAGTGGGATGAGTAGGAAGACAGGGGTTACATTGGTGCCATGACCCGGATGAGAGTGAGGTTTAGGGGGTGAGTGTAACAGAGGTCAGCTATATGGTGGTGGTTGAGGAGACTCCCCCTTTCAAATGTAAAGCGCTTTGAGTACCTATATAGAAAAGCGCTATATAAATGTAACAACTTATTATTATATTGAGAACTGTGGAGGTAAACCTCACTTCCCTGATCTCAAGAGGTGCACTAACGCTTGACGCTAGAGACTGTGATCTTTAGGGTCCTTGTTAGTGCGCCTGTCTCCCATGCCAGAGACATCGGTTCGAGTCCCGCTTGGAGCGGGGCGAGTAGGACCGGAGAGGTTACATATAGTATGTGGTAAGTTTGCTCTTTTTATATGGGCAAGTTAAGGCTGCTGTGTCAATAGTGCTGAATTAATATAAAAGCTGCATTCATATATGCAGCTGTGTACAGCCTTACATGCTCTGTCAAGCAACAACAACTTGCAACAAAAAATGCTATTTTTATGCACGCAAATGTAGTCGATTATAAGTGGCTTAAGCTGATTAAATGGTTGGACATGTAATTGAGTTGTATTATTTTAATGAAAAATTATGAGGTAAAAAAAACAAAAAAAAAAACATGCATGGATGAATCGTTCACAATAAACTCCACCAATTCCACAGATTTGAATTCTCTCTGGGCTTGCTTCATCATCCGTGTGATATATATCCGTATTTAAATCAATATCTTCACATAAATTTGTATATCTGTGAGTGTCAGGCTGGAGGCCGTATCTCTAGTCTGTATCTCCTTTACTCCAGAAGATAAAGACACATTTATAGAGTTTGCATAAGACCAGGCGCACAGGAAGTGAAACCAAAAACAGTACTGACATGCCACCTGGCATGGTTGTGTATTAACAATAACAGGAAATTGGTAGGATGTGGTGAGAGAGGGATATGTCAAGCTTTCAGGTGAAGGGGCGGTTTGTTAGGGTGGTTTGGAAATCTTGTCTTTGTGCAGTGTCTGAAATGTCTTGAAGGGGATAAAGAGAGCCAGTCTGTCACACAGGGCTTGTAGATGCCTCATGACCTATTAGCTGTTGGTGAATACTGGAATGGACAGGCACTCAAAAGAGTGGAAGCATAACTTTCATTCTCATTGTGTCAATGACACCAAAACATAGTCATCTTACAGGCACTGCATGTGATAAAGTGCTACAAGAAGAATTCCATCATTGCAACATAATAGCTTCACTGCATCAAATGTGTATTCATACAGCTTCAGATGAGCTTGACTCTGCAGGCTGGAGAGGTTTGATCCATTCAACTCTGAGACGCGTTCAATATTCTGTAGGATCTATGATGGATCATTGGGGCTGCAAATCAATGGCATGGTCAACGCCTATCGATCACAACGTTAGTTTTTTTTAGCGTGTTGATTTCACTTGCGTCCCAAGTAGCAAACTATTTGGAAAATAGCTTTATACTCTTTAAGTCAAAATACATCTCCACTGAACGCTTGACCCCCACTTGGTTCAAAGTGCAGCTTTTGCATAGCAGTTGTGTTTATGGTAAAGTTCAGCACCATGGACAGCAGTGTATCATTAAAAAACTCATGAATTTATTGATTCTGGTTCAATGGCTGTATAGATCCCTATATAAAATGTCTTTATTTGGTTGTAAAATGCTTTGTTACAGGGGGGAAAAATCTGCCTGTATTTGTGAGAGGATACTATATAGAAAATACCATATTTTGGGGTCAGATTAGATTCATAGATGTGGAAAAAAATATTTAAATCTATTAAATGCTGATTGGTCAAAGGTGAAAAGTTATACCTCTTCAAATATGGATCCATAAAGACCATATGTAGATTTATAAAATTACTAGATTTTATTATTTGTTTAGATATTCTTGACACAAATGCCAAAGCCTGGTTCTAATGTCCTACTATAAAATTGTTTAGTGTTTTAAGTTTAATACTGAAAACTGGCAAAACATGACGATATACGCATTAAGGCACTGACAACGCATTATTTGCAGGTAATGTTGCGAAATAATAGACCTAAATAGGCTACTTTTCATTTTTATATTTATTCCAGCCCCTTTGGGAGGAGAGAATGACTGTAATCTTTAGAAGGTACATTTTCGAGGGGACAACAAGGATCCACAGATGTAAGTGTTAGATTATATCTATATCTCCCATGGGAAGAGTCATGAACATGGAGATGATCTCAGTTCGCAAAACTTCTTCAGCTTTATTTTCTGCATTCTTTTATACATTGTCAAGGGGTGGTGTAATGATTGACCAGTAAGAATATACATTACATCATATAGAAATGTAAGACAAAGAGAAAAACAAGTCCATCTAAAAATGAGTCTAAATCCAGATCTCCTTCTGGGCTGAATTCCAACAACCACACATACATACATGGAGACTACATTGGATAATATAAACAGATGTGTGCTGAAACAAGAACAAACTCTCCTCACCATCTCTGCCTTGACCGCCTGCATGAGTACATTTTGGGAGCATATATGCAGTTTAAAAAAAAAAAACAGACATGAGCATGCAGAGAGGGAGAGAGTGAAAGTCAGGCTGAGAGCCATATTGAAAGCCATATATGCTCACAGGTAGCAAACACGACAATATCATAGACATTGCGTGTCCCTTTCCACATGTTAATGTAGGCTACCTATCGCTTCAAAAATAAGTTTTCTCTCAGATTTTACTACACCTTTAAATGGCGCGAGCCTCGCAGTAAGATGAAGGCGGGGTCGCGCGGCGCGTGTGTGGAAATCTCGTGATTGTCCAACAGTATCTCTGAGCGCGCGGCTCTCTGTAACTGCAAGCGAGCACGGAACGAGACAAGTGCACGCGGGCACAACATCCTCACAAGACCGCGAAAAAACGTTATTTAGTGGATTGGACCACACATATAGAGCCTTTTGGGAATGTAATGTGGATTATTACTGAACGCTTTGGATATGTTTACGAAAACTGAGGTTAGTCTGTTTCTTTTTCTTTTTTTTTTGGTATAGGCTACGGAATGATGGAAAGCTCGCCGGGATGCTATAAGTTCATCACTTACTTCGAGTATTCACACTAAGTTGGCTTGTTTTCACAGTGTAAATCGCGTTGTTCTTGAATTTTACTTTTATTTCTGTCAACGCGCCGCACGCTTTGGACTGAATCGAAATAAAATACATTCGCGTAGTTTCCCGGGGAAGCGCGATAAAAAAAATACATCATTATTTAGGAAACGAAAATAGGGTTTGAACTCTAAAAACTACGTTTACGAGTAGGCTATTTATTATTTTTAGGAGATAGCCAGTCATCCTCATTACTGAGCACAATGTGGACAGTAGCCTAGGATATTTCTGTCAGTTGACTGGTTTTCGAGACACAAAAATAAACTTGTTTTTGTTAGCTGCCTGACATATGCCATTACATTATATTTCGTTTATTCGTATTAAGTTAGGCAATAGGCCTGTATTATAGTTGTAGGCTAATCACGAGAAAAACACGCGTTTTCCTCCGTAAACATGTAGCAAACAATTTCTCGCTTTGGTCTCAGGAAGCCTGTGTTTTTCTTAATCTGTAAAAGTACCTGTAAATAATGAATAAGAGTTCTCAGGTGTCTGTGGAGCCCATGTTCAACTGCCACTCAGGATAAACAACAACACGCATGCCCACTGCAGGATCCTTGTGGATGCACTACACATGGACTGGTCAAATACACAGGAACGCACATCCATTTTTCCTTTTCCTTTTTAGAGTATGTATAAAAAGGTTTTTATAAAATGCTGAGATTTTATTTTGATTAGCTTAATTTTAAGATTCACACATGTGGTGTAGGCTACTTAGCCTAATAGCCTACACTTTACTATTATGATGCATTAGATTAGTGCACCAATTTATTCTGGTTTTTGTTAGACAAAATGTGCAGGGAATTTAAGCATGGTAATGTATTAAAAGTAGGCTATATTTAAAACAATAATTTGACTTTTAACGTATTAACACGATGCAGTGATTAAAAATACGTACAAAGCCATATAAATTATTTGATATAAATATCTGTCTTGATGTCACATTAAGCGATATGTTAAGACATTTAAACGGATTTTTTGGCACGTTTGCACATGTAAAATGCAAATTCAGCTCTTTTGTCGCTTCGAAGTGCTCAAGTGAGTCCAGTGCATTTTAGAATATCTTAATTCATTCTCATCAATTTGTAGTGGCTCATTTAGATCAGGAATTTAATAGACTTTGGTAATAATCCACCGTCACACACTCGCGCTCTCATACACTCATTTTAAAGGTAGGCTATTCAAGTTTCTGCCTTTTAATAGTCTACATTTCAGGTTTTTGTCTAAATGATAATTAGGCTACGCAAATTGTATTTGTGTCTTAACATTTTTAACGAAATTTTGACAAATCCTCACAGGCTTCAGCCTATCGTTTGTGTTGAAATTGTCGGGGATTATCTTTCCTTGAGCGCGGCCTTGTCACACACACTTTCATCGACGCATTATTTCACAGCTGACAGAAATGAAAATGAACACGTATGTTTGATTTAAAATAATGCATCATTGATGTATTCGAGCGTGTTTAATTTCTCCATGAGCCTAAAGTATAATTTCACCCTGTGGTGTTTTGTGACCTCTTTTGTGTGAAATTGAATGCAGTTCCCTCTCACAAAAATGTAAATTATTTTGCCGTTGTTTATACATGTTCACATTTTGTGAGACTGGCATGCGTTATTTTAGGTGATTGAATTGTGCACTAATAATTTGGATCGAAAGCGTAATTTCAGTGAATTACAGCACATGTAGCCTATGTGTACATTCTGCACCCCTTTAAACCAGGCAAACGTATAGCGAAAGGCTATTTTAAAAACGAAATATTGGCGCACAGAAGCATTTCAGATTTAATAGCCAACTCCATTTTAACGAATTTTTTGCTAACATTATAATTTAAAATGGTATTAATTTATATATATTTAAAATATAGGCTATTACAATAGGCTACATAAAATGCTTAGACAACTTAAAAAAAATACGTTTGGACGTTTTCATTTATGTGTCGTTTCCCTTTTTTTAATCGTTTTGTTCTCACGGGTGTGGGTGTATAATCTCCATTTACATATCAAGCCAAGATGATCTAAATGTTACTGAGGTATTTTTCAATAGAGATCAACGAATTAAAATAGTACAGATTGTTAATTCTAAAACTGAAAATACACATTAACGCATATATAATGTATTATAAAGCCTATTAAATAAACTATATAAAATCTTTTTTTCATTTTGTTTACTGAATATAGGTAGTGTTTTTTAAGCAACATGTAGACATAGGCCTACATTTGTTTCCTTTTGTAACTAATATCGTTCTGCCGCGTTTTGATGTTTATTTTTTTATTATTCCTTCAAATCGCCTTTGTGTCTGTGTCGCAGAGAAGAATATTTCCTATTGGCGTTGTGTAATGCTCAGCCTCCAAAACACTCATCGAATGTGCTCTGGCTTTCCAATACACCGCAGTGTGACGTGATCTCTCTGTCTTGATCAGAGCCCTATATAATGCACACACCCCACACCTTTACCACAGTGAAATTTGGTCATAAATCACATTACTAATCCTCTGGTTTTGATTGTGATGGGTGTATAATGAATACTGGCACAAGGATGGTGGTTTTAGGCAAGGTGATGTAATGCCATAAAAGTCTGCTGCAGAACCACTCCCGCTTTAATCTGCTCACAAGTTGCTGTTCCTCTGCAGTGGGTTGTTTAGGGGGTTGCTGGTGGTACCCGTGCCCACTCTGGGTCACAGGGGGGAGGCTGGATGAGGCCAGGTAAGAGCCTCACGCCTCTCTTTCGCCGGCTGGCAGCCCAGGAGGAGAGCACCGGACGCTGATGTCATCCATTTTGGCCCAGCTCTACCTCGCCCACACCTCCGCTCTACCACGCGGATGCTCGATGGCAACCGTGTCACGTACGGAGACGAGCTCGCTGAAATGGCGTGCGCCTCCTCCCAAAGCCTCCATGATATCATCGGGGCGCACTGGAGGACATTTTGTCGCAGCGCTTCTGGTGTAATGGTAGAGCGTAACTGAGGCACCTGTGGTAAAACCCAGCTTTGTGTGTCTGATGAATGGTTGGGCCTGCTGTCATTAACATCCCCCCCTTCCACCATTACACCTCCTTCTCCTACTCACCGACTTTTTAAGCGGGATCCAAATGCAGGGGCTTAATTTTGTGGTCTCGTGTGCCGTTCCCAGTGGAGTGTGTCAATCACATATCAATGAGGACAATGATGTGCTCAGTTTAGCCTTTTCACCTCTCTCCTCCTCTCTGCAAGCCCTCACTCGACAAAAAAAGAAAAAGAGAAAGCACACAAGCATATTTCGTGGTGTGGGCGCGAGCCAACGTGGAGTATCTGTTACAAGCACGCAGTCTCTCGCTCTTTTTCCCCTCTTCAACTGCAGCAGGCAGAGCTCTGACGGCATACATTGTGTTTCGGCTCTGTTGAATCGCGTGGGTTGGTTGCACTATTGTCCTGCCGTACCTGCTGCCTACGCCTCTGGCAAGGACACGGGCAATATTAGATGACTATTAGGTTACACCTTGCATGTTGCCATGTAATTGGAGCCTATTCATTTATGCACGTAGGGGACACATGTTAAGAGGAGCTGGAGCTGCGTTTTGCCTTCACAAAAGTCCTACTAATCTGTGTTGGTTCAAGGCCAAACGTCAGCTCAGCATGGGGAGCTTCTCTCACATTTCTAGAACAATACAGGGCATTTTGTTTGTGCTTGAGGATGTGTTAAGAATTTTAAAACATTTTAAACTGTAAAATAAACATTTACGTTGCCTTTTTTACTGCATCTAAATATGCAAGGTTCCTTAAAAAATAATAAGCAATTTGCATATTCAATACAAATTTGAATGCCATTTTTATGCATTGCAATAGATTTTTGTTCAAAATGTAGGACCACACCTAAATTAAATATTTTTTAAAACCAAATAATTACATATTTTTAGAACTAGTTTAGGCGACTCTGGTGGTGCTGGAAATATAGAGTATATGTCATGGGAATGTGTAGACATTCATATGATTGTTTTCATGTATTGTGCATCCTGCAAAAATCCTTTTAATTTTCCACATCATCAGATAAACATGGACTCTCTGCTATTGAATGATAGCTGGAGCTGCCATGTGAATAATGCTGTTAATTTACACACTAGATGACCGATAACAGAAGGATCTTTTGGGGGAATTTCCTTAAAAATATATAAACTTTTAATTAGGATTAGCATTTAACATAAGTGCAAAAAATGACTCCTTCAAGTGCAGCTTTTTAAGATTATAATTGTGAAAGTGTACTGTATTAATTTTTTTAAATAATATAGAGTTTTTTATGCTTTTACGTTTTCCGTATAAATAAAACCCACACTAGATAGAATGAGACATTGTGGATTCGTTTGTAATTTGATGCTTTTCTATTTTGACAGCTAGACGGGGCAGAGTAACCGAATGAACTACATTACCCACAAGGCATCATGCAGACTGCGCTGGTTTCCCGAAATACAGAAAGAGTCCGACCTGGAGGACTGGATGATTGAGGTCTGAGGAGATACCAGAAGAAAACACCACCTCAGCAGACGCACAGCACCTCATCTGCTTGTCTTCTCAAGTCGATCCGTTCCAGGAAACGAGGAAGAAAAACTTTGATTGTCGCCTGACAGAGATTGGATTTTTGTGCAATGTCATTGGCCTTATGACTGTTATTTAAGACTGTTCTCCCTACTAAGTCCCTCACCTCTTTTAGGATATTTTTTGTTTGTCGCTGCGTTGACGATCTCACCTCTTCTCTAGCATCTCTGGGCATACTGTGGGATGTACTTTGGATACACTGACCTTTGAACCAAAGCAAATTCAATGATTTCCTTCTGTTCAGGATAATAACCCCAAATCTCCAGCACTTTTACAATGAATTTCTTCAGATTCCCAGTCCAGCTGCAGCTGCTGATCAGTACTGTGCTTGGGCCCTGCTTGGGCCTGGAGTTTACAGGGTCGCAAGGCCAGTGGGCACGCTATCTCCGCTGGGATGCCAGCACCAGAAGTGACCTCAGCTTCCAGTTCAAAACAGACGTGTCCACCGCCTTAATCCTGTACTTTGACGATGGCGGCTTCTGCGACTTCCTGCAACTCATGGTGGTTGAAGGGAAGCTCCAGTTGCAGTTCAGCATCGACTGCGCCGAGACCACAGTCGTATCGGACAAGCGAGTCAATGACAGCAGCTGGCATTCTGCCACCCTGAATAGGTACAACCTGAGAACTGTGCTGGGTCTGGACGGAGTAATCAAATCGGGTGAGGTGCGGCCACAGAGGCAGTACATGAAGATCGTTAGTGACCTCTTCCTGGGCGGAGTCCCTCAAGATATTCGCATTTCTGTGCTCACTCTCCCGACAGTGAAGGATCTTCCGCCATTTAAGGGAATTATCAGGGAACTGAAGTACAATAGCAAGGAACCTATTCTACTAAGCAGCCAGAGGGTCCGCATGGACATAGAGGGGATCTGCATGGAGAACCCATGTGAGAACGGAGGGACGTGCTCCGTTGTGGATGGGGAACCACTTTGCGATTGTTCTAAGACAGAATATGTTGGCCGATTCTGCAGCGAAGGTAAAATGGTTTATATTTACAGCTTGATAATACAGCAGATGCAATATTGACTTACATACAATGTAACGGCACCGTACTCGAAATTGTCAGTCTTTACTGCTGTAATGTGAATGTTTCCTTCATCCTCTGCTGTTTCATGCTACTGAAGTATGACTCTCAGGTCCAGGTTAATGCCATCTCTTAGCTTGTCTCCTGAAAGCTGCCCTGTTCTATGCATTTGCAGGTGTTTTGTGCTGTGAATTTTTTTTTCAATCAGCCTCCTCTGTTCCCCCATCGTTTCATACAGTCAATTGAAAGCGAATGTCATTGAAATGCACTACTAGCGTTTTTACCTCTGTAAAGCACTAAGCTGTTTGTCTCTGGCAAGCGTTTTGTGTGTGTGTGTGTGTGTGTGTTAATCATGCCCGGCTGAGGAGGTGGGGTGTTAGGATGTTAAGGTGCCTTTTCAGATCCCCTTGGTTGTTTTTCTGAAGTGGCCATTTTAGTTTCTCTGGGGATTTGAGGAGGCCATTTCACAGCTCTGGGTTTTGTTGTTGCACCTCTTCAACAGAGAATGAATCAGAGATGGGGGATAATTGCCTATTTATATTGCCTATAATAGTCAATTGCAATTCTTTGTAGCGTCATTACTGGTTTTCCTAGAGAGAGAATTTTATGACCGTCTTATAATTCTTTAAAGAATATGCTAATATATAAATATATATATGGATCTTCTGGTTTGTGGACATATTTTTCTTGTAAGTATAATCATAACTAAACTAATTTTACGTTAAACTGTACCACAGCAGAAAATCACAACTTTTGAGTTCTTCTTCATGAATCATGTTTCCTGATGGTAATGAAAGGTACACATTAGTTGTTGTTTTTTTCATATTCCTCTATAATTTTTGCTTTAAAGAGATCCTCTTAAATGCTTTAAGTTGTAGCAATATGAATTTGATAAATTATGAATTTTAGCAAGAAAACAATGACAGAAACGAATGTCTTGATTAGGCCTAAACTTTTTTCCCCTTGTGATTGAAGTGTTTAAGCTGGGTGATTGATCGGTGCTCTGAGCCCTATGAGTTTTTACCCTCATTGTAGACACAACCTCTCATGTGATTCTCTCCTTAATGACACAATTACCGAATGTGATTAAAAAGTCAGGATGCTATCTGTGTACTCAGGCATTTTATATAGAACCGAATGTGTATGTATGCTTGCACAGCCTCTTTCAGAGCGCAAGAGAGAGAAAATGAGAGAAAGGGGTATTATGTGTAGAAGACCGGGCACTAGAGTTAGATTTATAGGCTGTAAAGAGTACAGAGTTTTGAGCTTGATTTACAGCCGTTGTTCCTCTCCATCTTGTTTGGCTGACTGGGTCCTGCAGTCCACTGATAGGGGCTAAAGCCCGACGTAAAAGCAGCATTGATGGCTTTGAATGCTGGGAATCAGTTCAGCCAATCATAAAAGAATAAATAAACCTTTTTTGGAGGCCATTTATATCGGAGCACATGGGGCAGCCTTTACTGCCGAGCAGTTTGTTAGGCGACAGCTGAACTTTCTCCACTAGCATCTCTTACAAATCCAAATCAAAACCTGTGCACATTAATGTGTGCCATCAGTGTTTGATAACAACATTACGAAAACCCACTGAGCAATCTTAATACCATCTTAATCTTGTGTCTTCAGGCTTTGGAAACATCTGTATGCGGGTAATAAATATCAGGTCAGAGCCATATGGCAAGCTGGTCTGAAGTGTTAAGCATTAGCTTTACGTGCGTTTGACTGAATCCAATTGCCATAGCAGCGGCAACAACAATCTGACACTCCTCTCGATGGCCAGATGGCTAAAATGGCCTCAGAACTGTTTTGTGTTGCCGCGGCGTATGTTTCTCGCTCTGTGAAAATCGTGATAGCCACGGCGCTACATCATTTGCGAAAGCGCGTAATCTTTTGGCGGATTAGAATAATAAACATTTGGCAGCAAAACAAACACTCAATCTGTCTTCCCATGTGGATGGTCTCTGAATCGGTACGCTGAGGTTTATGTTTAAGCTGGCCACTCTTTACAAATCTCCTCGTGTTTTTTTAATGTTAACAAAGCAAAAATTCAAAAGTGCATCAAGAGGATACGTAGACCTTAGTTACTTTTTTTAAGGTTAAGACCTGTATTGGGTGTAATGCGTTTTAATTTTCCCTTGAAAAATTGAAGTGAGGAATTACTCTAAATTTTTCTGTAATTTAATAAGTTACTTCTGAGATAATTGCATTAAATACTTAAAGACTATTGAACAATTCTATATAAAACAATTGTGAATTTAACATCAATATTTAACATTTAATATTAAATTGTGTTTTTAATGTAACCTTCCAAGTTTAAGAGCATTTTAATTTTAGTATATGCAATTTTATATTATTAGTTTGAAAGAATTAAAAGAGCAGTTTCATGTCTATCCTTGTATTGTTAAACTGGTCAAGGTTGATATGGGACTTATGTAATTAGTAACTAGTAATTAATTACTTTTTAGACTTACCCAACACTGGTAAAGATCTCTAAACATTTATTTTTATTTATTTATTTTCACATCTATTTAAATTCCCCTCCCACCAGAAGTTATGTTTAAATAGTGGTGTTTGTTGTCTGTGAGAGGTAGCCTATACTATAACTGTTCTACTGTAGGTAATTCAACAACATTTTCACTTTTTTTCGCAAACATTTTGGATTATAGCCTAGTTCATTTAATATATTAATTGTATTTTATCATTTATTTTATCATCATCGATTTAATCATGACAATTTGGTGTAAATCCAGATTAAACTAATCATTCACTTGTTGAAGAGCCACGACTATACATACATTTTTGTCTCACCACTGTTTCTGAGAAACTAGGTCATCGTAGAAGGCTGACAGTGCATGCAGACGATTGTATTCCAGCCAGACATCAGAATTTCAGTATAGGTCAGTTCAAGAGCTGAACACATCAATCAAGTCACCATGGCACTCACATGCTGAGTGTAACTCTGCATTCTCTGCTCTCAAATCACATCCTAATACTTTCCCCACCAGGTTAATGCATCTCATCAGAGGACTTAATGTTCTGTACCAGCCTTTAACAAGCACGGCAGACAGACACGCTTACACATTGGAACGTGTCCCTAAAATGAGTGACCATGAGAGATGACACATTGCATTTTCAGTCAGTACAGACATCAACACATAGAGGACTAAATGAATGTCTAATGTAGCTGTAATTACTCTGCACTAAAAGCATTTAATGGAGGCAGACCCCATCAGGTTTCCCTTAATTTCCTGTATTAGCTGCAGTTTGTGTGCACTGGCAACAGATAAATTGGTTCTTTGGCCTGGCTGTGACTAGTACTTATTCATTGTAATAATCTGGATAATCTCAGAGTTATCAAAAAGCTATAATATAAAACAGTATTTTAAAATATACAGTATACCTAGTTATAGTTTAGTTTATAAACTATAATAGTGTATATAGTTTAATTTTGTTATATATTTTAAAGTAACACCAGGTAACTTTTCAACCTTCATAATATACTTCCAAGTCTCTTGTGATGGTACATCGACTTACAATAGGTTGAATGACACGTCTGCCATAGCCTGATGGGGTCTGTAGCGTTTTTAATCGTACTTTTAAACTTCGGGTTTCGGGTAGTAACCGGCGAACAAAGAGAACTACAAAATTCGACTGCTTTACGGCATATACGTCACTTCCACCACCACCCCCACTTCCTTAAAATCGGACGTGCGAGCCAAATGTTATAGTCAAGGCCGAAGCAGCACAGAAAAACAAGAAAGCAAAGGTTTTATCGGAGCAAAGCAAAAAGAGAAAAAGAGAAAGTGATCGCGTTAAAGGCAGAACGAGGATTAACATTGGGCCAGCATTTTCTCGCTGGCGTGAGCTGAAGGAGGAGGAGGGGTGCCCGACCGATGCGGACTTGGCAAAAAAATCAAAAAAAAAAAAAAAAATCAAATGAAAGCCTGTGTCTAAACGGCGTGCACAAGTTTGGTAGGGGCTACATTCTTGCAAGTAAATATATAAGTTGTACAAAATCATATTTTAGGATACCTAACATGTCTGTGATATTTGTTTATTTGTCTTGCCTCAAGCTATAATGCAAATCGATTTGTAAAATTTGCAGATTCATTTATGGTAGCTTGATATTATAATTTTGACGATATATGGTTATTATCTACCACTCAAACATTGCATTGAAGTATCATATAGATTCAGTAAAACGGTAACCAATAGACTAGGCTACTATAATGACGCTGGCTTGTAAACGTGATCATCGCGATCATTTGTCGTTAGAAAAAAAAATAAAACCCATGAAATTATATTCATATGACATGCTGAAATATATGCCACTGTACCTGGGATGAAGACATTTCACACGCGACGCAAGCAGAACACCTGCATGTGACCTCCTCCTACAGTGTTCAGGGCTATCCTGGTTGTCAACAATAACGTGCATGTAGGATGACAGAGTTTACGACAGTAGTAGAGGTCTAGAGGGCAATACTGTTTCCCAACTGTAGGGGGACCCCACCCCGAGAGCAAAAGTAACCTGGTGTTACTTTAAATAAAATTAACATATAAAAAATATATATTTGAGCATCCTGCCATCTGCATATTTTTTTAAATAGTCAAATTAATAGTCACAATTAATTTAATACTTTTAAGAGTCACAGATTACATTTAAAAGCATAAATGCTACACAATGGCTGTGTTTTAGAAGGGTTTTACACACTGTCTAACAGTTTATCAGTGTTGGATGCCCTTTGGTTTGGGAGACGACCAGAGTGCAATAATGAAATGAGTCAGCCCAGTGCTTCAGTGCTAAAGGCGGCCTGTGACAAAGAGAGAGAGAGTGTGTGTGTCTACAATGAGAGTAAATGTGGGCTCTGAGTATGGAACAGTGCTTTAGACAAACATCAGCGTCTCATAAATCCACAACCCTCTCTAAAGGGAACAGGTCCCGTTTCCTGTTTGGATTTATGGCCCAGGCGTGGATGTGGGTTTTGGGAGTGTGTGTAAGACATGGAAGATGGACTAGACCTCTTAGATGTTGATGTGTCATGGTGTTTCATACACCATAGATCTGACCCCCCCCCCCCCCCCCCCCCCCCTCCTCCTCCTCCTCATTTCCCAGGGAGAAGAGAGGGTGGATGGATGGATGGATGAATGCAAGGGGCATTTAAGGGTTTCTGTGTACATGCACAGGGCAGATATCTGCTCGGTGCATGCTGGCAGGTGTGTCGGAGTTTGCATGATAGTTTTCATGCAAAGATAATATGAGTGGGCTCTAATGGCTGCAATGTCTCTCTTCTCTTTTTTCTTTTTTCCATTGTGGCTTCTTTGCTGCAACACCATCAGAGGCCAACAGCATCCCAGGTGAGTTGATCATATCCTTTAAGTTGTATTGAATTGTCTTTTACAGGCAGTTATTGATGCACAGTGCAAACAGTATTCAAATGTATAGTAACAAACGTAGAAATTTTCAAATATGCTTAAAATTATTGCTGTGTTCCCAGTAAAGTTACCATAATGAAAAATACTTAAAGACAATGAAAGTAGTAGTGACATTTATTTCCTTCCATTTTATGATTATCAAAAAGAAAACATGTTTTACAAATAAGATTACCATGCATTTGGAAAGTAGATGATGAAAATAGATGGGTGAATTTCAACTTAATCATTAAAATCGATATACTTTGCTATGTTTATATTGAACAACAAATAAAATGCTCCAGGTATTTTTATTATGCAGTTACTGTTTTATAAATCAAATATGGTAATGTGAGGCAGTGTAATGTGAAAATAGCAATCCACAATATTCACAAAATACTTTATTTATTTATTTCTCAAGGTCCCTTTACAACCTAAAAAACTTTAGCTGTCACAGTAGATAAAAAATCAATTTAAAACAATGTGGTAACACTTTATTTTAAGGTGTCATTGCTACAGTGTGATTATATATTTAAGTACTGAGTAATAATAATCAACTACATGTACTTACTATAGGGTTAGGGTAGGATTAGGATCTGGTTGAGGGTTAGTTGCATTACCAAAAATGCTACCACTTGTAATTACTTCATACTACTACTTCTAATTACCACTTTAACAAGGTCACAAAGTCGAAACCTTTTTTTCTTCTGCCAAGATGTGAGGTCACTGTATGCTCTGATACATACCTAAAGATGTTCTTCTCTTTCTGTGACTTTCTCTGTTCCTCAAAGGTTTTGCACACATGATGATGGCGGATCAAGGTATGCCACACCCTTTCACTGTTATTCACTCTGTTGTGATTTGCTTATATGCTGCATGCCTGAATTGACTGAATTGCTGTGCATTGAATGAGCTAAACTGTTATTCTGAACCTTGAATGCATAGATGTGGACTGATCTTTGACCGTTTCTTCGTATCTCTCCATGCTTTCCTTCTGTGGATACTCTCCATCTCTTTGTTGCCTTTCGTCTCCTTTCTCAAGCCAAGGGCAAAGGTACAGAACCGTTTTCTACCTCAAGTTGTGCTCTCTTGTGTTTACATCCGTGTTATTAGTTTTTTTTTGCTAATAGCTGCTCACCATGGGTGACTGAAACAAGAGTATAATTAAATGAGAGTGTTGAAGGCAAATACACCAACGGTATTCTGACTGCAGCCTGAGTGGTCTGAACTGTATTCTACCTCCCTGGTGCTCTTATAACCAATAGATATTTGTATCAGCTGCTAAAAATGCTCAGTTTATCTTGCTCGAGACCATGAATAATGCTTAATATGTCAGTTTTTGTTGTGGTTTGGATCTTTCATGTGGAATTTTGAGAAGTGTTGTGTTTGTGTTCTGTCAGCTGGCACAATGACTTCCGCTTTGTGTTTTTTGGAAATAAAGAAATGAAGAGGAAGAAAAGAACTGTGATATTTCATTCTGGCAGTGCATGTCAGTGCATGACAGTGCAGACACTGTCATGTCATTTCATAGCTGGGTTCTCTAGTGAGGTTTGTAGATGGCCTCGATTTAGCCCTGACTTGCTGCTGGGCTGAGCATCCCTGTGGAACGCTGTTGAACCACGTCATCCCTTTGTCTCACCCAAAACAATATTTCAGCAAGTCTCGGAGTGGACAAATAACTTCATTCTTCAAATAGAATAGGCCTGGATTGCACTGGATTTTTTTTGCAGGACATTTTAATTGACTTTGTTTCCTGTGTTTAGGGTGATTTGCTGGATGTTTCTGTCTGCTTTCAGAGTTTTCACAATATGGTAAATGGTAATGGTAAATGGACTGCATTTATATAGCGCTTTCACAGACCCAATGGCCACCAAAGCGCTTTACATTTGCCTCACATTCACCCATTCACACACTCATTCATACACCGACGGCGGTGTCTGCCATACAAGGCGCCATCCAGCTCGTCGGGAGCAGCCGGGGTTAGGTGTCTTGCTCATTGACACCTCGACACTTGGTCAGGTGGAACCGGGGATTGAACCTGAAACCTGAAACCTTGGTTCCTCAGAAACCAACCTTTCGGTTTGCAGACAACCTACATGAACCACTGAGCCACTGCCGCCACAATAGAGATTTCTGTGTGGACATGAGGACATTTAGCTGCAGAGTTGGTTTGTTTTATTGGAGCAGCATGTGTGAAAACCTGAGTATGCTTGTTTAAGGATTGATCAATTGGAGTGGTCAATTATGAAAACATAATAGGCTAAATGCAAGACTTTTTTTCAGCTTCAAAACATTACATTTGTAATATTTTGATTGGTTACAGAAGCATTTTTGGGTGAATGCAGGTCTAATTGATTTGTCGAGCAGACAAAATGATCAAAATTCACACCCCTGTTACGGTTCATGTGGACTTCACAATAGTTTACAGTTGGTATGAAAGTAATTGTAAAAGTCTAATTTGCAGAAAGGAACCTTTTTTGATTGCCATGAGGAATGGAAAAGGTTTAGTCTGTTCATGTCACAGACACAAAGATGTTAATAGCAAAAGTAAAGAGAAAAAACATATGAAGTTGATGATGCACCTCTGCACTACTATTTTTGTCTTCTTTATTTATTTATTTCTTTTTTTAACCTGGCATTGAATTTCTATGAATTTCATGATTTCTATGAACTGTGTTGGCGTTAGGACAAATTGTTTGTAATATTTCTAATTTGTAAGTCTCTTTAGATAAGTGTCTGCTAAATGAATGTGAATTAACACTTTTTGGGATCACTAGGGAATGCAGAATTTGCAGGTGAAAACACCTGTCATTGGACATTAGGAATGCATAGTACAGTATAAAGGGTGTGGTCTTTATTGCATGAATGCTGATATAAACTAAAATGAATCCAGGCATATGCTGCAATTCCTTTTGCCAACCTAGTTTCTTCCCTCAACCCAATTTAAGTGCTAAGTCAGAGCCCAGTCAGCAAGAACCTGGCAGACAGACAATACAGTAGGCCTATATAGCCAGTCAGATGCATTAGCACGTATTCGCCTGCGTCGCATTAAAATCAGTTGTATTGTAGCGCTGTCTCCGACACTGTCTCTCCTGCTACCTCCTTGCGTTAAATCCCTCTGCTAGACGGGGGGACATTATTACAAATCAGCCTGGCTGTACGCCCAAGTTAAGATGACAAGGGCTTCCATTTAGGATCCCATTTGCTTCTCGGTTGCGCCGAACGATACTACGAAATGTTTATTTATCTGCATTTGTTTCCATCGCCGCATCTCTTTCACCTGTCACCGCCGAGCGAGTTTGTACTGCTTGTGAAACTCGGGATGTTTTTAAAAAAAAATGTATATATATAATTTCCTCAGAAACCTCTTGCAGTTAAACCTCAGGAAGATTCCTAATTGTTGTGCTTTGTAATGTTTGACAGTATTGTGTCTGCAGTATCATAGAGGAAGGAAGTGAGAGGCAGCAGCTGTTTTTGGGTAGCCCAGGGCTTGTCGCTCATGTCTGCGTATCTCAGGGCACTCGGACGCCATTCCTCGGCACCCGTCTGAAGTCAATCATATCAGTCTGCACACTGTTCTCCTCTCTGGCACAGGCATATGTCAGAAAACAACAGAAAGTCAGAGGACAAAGATGAAGAAGGGTCTCTAGGGACTTCCTGTCTGTCATTGTTTTTGAGTCTTCTCTTTATTTCCATCTGTTAGTTTATCTGTGATGTAACTTTATTTTCCCAGAGGAACATTTTGGTGTATATAAGATAACATGCATTTGGAAAATAGATGATATAAATAGATTGGTGAATTCAAATTTTCATTTCATGGCAGCTTAAATCACTATTAATCATTCAAATCAATATACTTTGTCGTGTTTATATTAAACAACAAATAAAATGCACCAAGTATTTTTATTATGGGGTACTGTTTTATAAATGAAATAAGTTTGAGCCAGTGTGTTGTGAAAACAGCAATCCACTTCTAATCCTGGTAAAAATACTACCACTTCTAATTAACACTATAACAAGAACAGAGGAACATTTTGGTGTTCAGAGGTTGTTCTTTCATAGCTTGGGAAGCATAACCGAGTTCTCATTTATATCTACTTGAAGTATCAGCTTTGTCTATGAATTCTACAACTAGACAAACAAGACAATTGTTACAGAAAAGTACTGAACTATAAAACGAACATGAATGTCAAGATTAGATAATTTGGTCTAAAAAAAAAAGTGATGAGAAATATTGAAACAGTATTGAAACAGACTTGGAAAATTTGAGCACAGTTTTTGACTTTTATTAAGATCTTCTGAAGCTGTAGAGGAGAGGTGTGAGAGTTCTCATTTTTGTCTCATTGAAATATGTCAAAAATAATGTGGATCGCATAGCATAGAATATTTAATGAAGTATTTATTGAGTGCATATTTGTGATATGTTGTGATTTTGTTGAGATCTCAAGTGTAACCCCAGAGGAGGCAGATGTGAGATCAGGGTCTTTAAATCTCGCTTGGAGAAGTGTCATTTTGCTCAAAGGTTGCTTTTTTATAGCTTAGACATAATGGAGTTCTCGAGCTATCAACTTTGTTTCAGACGTTTCTAATCTGAAAAACTGGAGGCTGTAGCAGAAGTCTCTTTCCATTGAGATAACTGGGATTTAGGCATGCCTAATGATAGAATGTATTTTACCTGTCTTTGCTTTGTCTGAGCTGAGAGATTTCCTCTAGATTTTTAGTAAATGGATATACTAATTCAATTAGACTAATTGATATTTCTTGTTTTTTTGTCATAATACCTCTCACACAATGCAGTGTGTTTCACCTGTTCCTCTTTATCATCTTAAATCCTTTGCAAAAATATTTATTTTAATGAACTTAAATCAATACAAGTCTGCAAACATTGCCTGCTTTGCACAGCGGTCAGATTGGTTACTGTGGCTCTGCTCCAGACCACCCAGAGATTGCTGAAGTCATTCCGCAAGTGTGCGAGTCTTTGATAGATATTAGTTGGTACAGGAGGCAGAAAATGAGTTGACCTTTTTGGATGGCAATGGAGAGTCTGAGCTTTGTTACAGGACAGAGGGGAGTGGAAACACTGTAGCTCACGCTATGCTGATGAACTCTCATGCAAGGTAATGAATTGAAGTGCCATTATGCAAATGCTATGCTAATTATCTAATCAGATTTGATTCCATTATGTACCCAGCTTCCTAACCTTGAGAAGGTAGGGACTGATCAGCTCACTCTTTCTACAAAAAAATAAATAATAAAAAAATAAATCAAAATTGTTTTTTCTTTTCTTTTTTAAACCTCATTTTTTTTCTTATCCCATTTCTTGCTTTTTCTTTCTTTCTTTTTCTTTAGTTTTATTCCGTTTTCTATTTCACACTTTTCATCACTAATGCTCTTTTACGTTTCCGTTCTAAACTAAACTGAACCTTTCCTGTCCGGACCAAACTGAAGCAACTTCTCTGACCGCGTTTGAAATGAAGAATCCTATTGTGATTTCTCACTTTTACACCTTGTTTGCTGCAGTACAAAGGGCTCTGCCACCCTGTTCCTCTGAGTGGAGTGTTTTTATGACACCGTTCTCCGTTACCACACATCTGAAGGCAGGCCGTCCTGGCAGTGAGGAGACACATGGTGTGTGTGAGAGCCAGATAATGAAATCCTTATCACATGTTTGGGAGGCCTGTAATTCCATTTGCTCTACTAATCCCTCGGTCACTTTGTCTCTTTGGCACTCACAGAACCTGTTTAACCAAAATTCCCCTTCCACTGATCTGCAGTTTACACTTTTTAATGGCACAAACGCAGCCTAAATGTTAATTTAAAATGGACCATGATTGCCACCTTAATAGTAGGTTAGAGTGTTGTCTTCAAGCAAATACTGAATGTGTTTTTGTGGGAGAGATACAAATGCATGATTCATCTTTTAGGTACAAACATGGTAGAAAACATGCCAGTCGGATGTTACTTTCAGAGCCGTGTTATGTATTTCATGTTGTCCATAATTTGTATTTTTTTTTTTTTTATTTTTTTTTTTTTGATGTCATTCACTGAAGACCC